GCTGAACTGCCCTTTTATCTCTCCTTCATCTGAAGCCTCCCAAGAGGCCCAGGCGTAAAGCTGCACAGAGGGTGACGTCCAGCCCTAGTAACAGCCTGATCCGTGGTCCTTTGGACGTGTCTGTGCAGCAGAAGGCCTCCCGGGGAACATCCAAGCAGGTCCCTATACCGTTGAGAAGAGTGAATGAGGGGAGCCAGGATATCAGTGCAGAGGATATCTATGATGCAGTTTGCTCTGGAAAGAGCGCCATGGTGGTGAGCAAACCTTCAGCTGAAGAAGGGGGAAGGGGATGTAGAGGCAAACACATGGAGGGAGGGAGGTGCTGAAGGAGACATGTTTATTGAGAAAAGAAACAAGCTTAAGAGCCTACAATGAGCAAGATTATCATGTGCTGTCAGTGACTGACTGATGTGATCCTATGTAATTGCCTTTGATACGGGAAGAGGAAGGAGTGCTCTCATTGGGTCATGTAGTCAATGATTGACAGCCTGCCTCCATCTGCAACTATTGTTATGCAGTGACCAGTCTCTTTGGGGTAAAGAAAAGAGGGACTGTGTCACAATAGAATACAAAAAGTGTGGTGAGCAGTAATAAAACAGTCTGTCACTACAGTGACTACAGTAGAGCATCAGGGCAGTGCAGACAGCACATTCAGCAAATGTGGCAAACTGCAGTTCAAGAAATTTAATCTTCACAAAAGTTTCTCAGTTCTCAGCTAAATGTTACTCCTTATGACTTCTTCTGTGTTTGCAGTTTTTTACACTTTCTTACAAGTTCTGCTCTGGAAGAGTGTCTTTGAATGTATAATGGTGTCACGGTTGACAGGAATGATTATGCAAAGAAGGTGTTGAATAAAACTGGAAATAAAAGGGCCAGAAAATCTAAGGGTAGTAGCAGGATGGGGCATACAATAGAAAACATAAAAGGCCGATGGTAGGAAGAAAGGGCAAAGCTGAAATCCATAATGTTATTTAGATTATATATTGTTATTTTAGTCATTTGCCCTTTGACGTAATTGCAGCGTTCTCATTGGCTCCTGTCTCCCTTTCATTGTTAAGTCGGTGGTGGACGAGTGGCTAGACAGCTACAAGCGAAACCGAGAGGCGGGACTGCTGGTGCTCATCAACTTCATTGTTCAGTCCTGTGGATGCAAAGGTCAGAGGTCAAGAGGGAGGCAGGGAGATGGGTGATGGGAGGTTTGGGTCAAAGTTCGATAGATTATCTTTCTATTTTCATCTTAAGTAGTCAGCGGCAGTGATAGTCTTTCCTTCATTTTTCCAGGTGTGGTTAGCCAAGAGATGTTTGACAGCATGCAGAATTTCGAGATCATCAGCACACTAACCAAAGAGTTTAATGAGGTGAGACATGGAAAAGTTATATAATAATAGTTAAGATAAATATTATTATTGTAGATCTGTAAGTCTGACTCTATTTCATAGTCTTTTTCATCTCTTCTCAGTACCAGTATTCCTGCTTGCTGGCATTAGTTGTGAAAGTCAAATGACCTACGTATCCCGAGAGATTATGATTCTCGGGATGGGGAACAGTGTAATGGAACACACTAATTAAAATCTAATACTGATAAATGGATGCGTTAAGGAGTTAATCACTGACATAATTGTCATTAGCAGAGCATGCCACAGGCTCCTACATGCTTCTTCCATTTATTTTGTTTCCTGTCTTTCCCCAGGATTCAGCAAACTACCCTCTGTCCACTCCAGGCCCCCAGCTGAAACGCTTTAAAGCCGGCCTGTGTGAGTTTGCTCAGGTTCTGCTGCGCTCCTGTCGGAATAGCCTCATTTATGATGAATACCTCTTCCCTTCCCTGCTGTCCCTGCTCACTGGCCTGACTGACTCCCAGGTCCGAGCCTTCAGACACACCAGTACCCTGCTTGGTAAGTGCATCGCTGCAGTGGATAAAATAAATAGGTACACACACAGATTTCCCAAGGGAGTCTTTATTAGAGTATAGCGACTACAGTTTTGTTTGGTGGTTATAACTTTGGTTATTAAAGTCACTTACTTTAGATTTTGATAGAGGTAAAAACCTGCATTAACTGTGAAGAGTTTTTCTTTTGCTTTTCTGGGCAGAACAAGCAGCTTTATTCACCTATCATCTGTTTTGGTTGTGAGAAAAGTCCTTTTGTTTTTTTCATTGTGTACTCTGTATAGCTTGCTTTTGTTGTTTCTCATGGTTTTATTTTGAGCCCCTGACTTAACCATGAAACTTCTATTTTTCTTTCAACCAAATCATAGAACAGTAATCATCATGTCCACGGTGCCGTTAAGCTGGTACAGTGAAACATTATTGGTATGGATGAACTTTTTATACTTTTAGGTTATTAATAAGGCAAGTCCTTAGTCTCAAAGATGCAGTTATTGTAACTGTTGCACTGTTTATCTGAATTTCTGTTGAACATGGTACATAACCTACTGAGTAAATGTCAACCATGAGGGTACCTAACGAGTGCCACATGGGAAATGATGGTTTTCCGTGTTTTTAAACATTCATTTAGTTTGTGGTTTTTGTCTGTTTTTTTTTCTCTTATCAGCCATGAAGCTGATGACAGGGCTGGTTGAAGTAGCTGTCACAGTTTCTATTCAGCTGCAGACCACACAGCGGCAATATGACATGGAGAAGAGCAAGAGGGTACATGACAGAGCCTCTGACAGACTGGAGGAGCTGCAGGCCACCATCAAAGAGGTGACACATGCACACCTAAACACTGGCCTGAGTACAGATACAGTCCCTTTTACATAAATATGCAGGTCAGTACATTAAAGCAGAGAAATCACATTGGCTCTGCAAGGAACATTTTGCAGATGGTGCTTTTGTTTTCATGTAGGAGGATAGAAATGACAATGTCACGATCCACTGTTTTCTAATTGTTCACAGTGAAACTGAAATATACATATTCAAGAGATAATTTGCATGTAAACAGATTATGGGACGTCCATGGCAACAATATACAACATTTTCATTGCCTATTGGACACAGGTTTAAAATAACTATTTTCAACCATCTAAATTGACTTAAAGTAGTCTTAAAAAGTAAAAGGGAAAGATTGATATGTAACTTGATGTAGATATGATAGGTTGGATATGAGGAACGTTTTAACCTCTGATTATTGGTCCCAAGTGCAATAAAGTGATGGTAAATGGTAAATGGACTGTATTTTATATAGCACTTTCTCACAGTGTGTTGCACTGGCCAAAGCGCTTTACAGGGAGATCATACACCATTCACCCATTCACACACAACATTCACACACCGATGACGACAGGCTGCCACGCACCGGCGCTAGTCAAGCCACCGGGAGCAATTCGGGATTCAGTGTCTTGCTCAGGGACACTTAGGCATGCGGGGAGACCGGGAGTCGAACCACCAACTTGTTGGTCAGGAGACGACTGCCCTACCTCGTACCCACAAGTGATGGCCTCATCTCAACCACAGACTGTAAATGCAGTAAAAGGGGTTGAACACAGAAGTCTTGGGCGACTACTAATTTGTTCAGTATTGATTGTGCATGTTCATATGTATGTACTGTAGCTGCACGAGAACAGAGAAGAGCTCTCCTCCCTCATGAACGCCACCTTCCGTGGTGTGTTTGTGCACCGTTATCGGGACCAGCTGCCTGACATTCGTGCAGCGTGTATTGAGGAGATGGGTGCGTGGCTGAAAACGGACCCTGAGGACTTCCTTAATGATGGATATCTTAAATACCTGGGCTGGACCCTTTATGACAAGGTTGAAAAGACACGCACACACACACACAGGACTAGACAACAGAAAATACATTACAAAGTAAAATGTTATTGTAATACCATTTCTTTAGTTTGTGGTTCTTTCACACTTGGCAGCATTGTGTGTCATAGATGTGTAGCAGCTGTCTGTCTGTAGCTCTCTCCTGGACAGCAAAGTAAAAAACAGTACCCAGGCCTGCCGTGCACAGGGAACTGGGCGTTCCAGATTGAGCATTTTATTTTTATTTGTTTGAAGCCTCTCATTTCAGATACAGTTGGTCTGCACAGACATAGTAAAGATCACATACACACAAAGAGAAATATTCCATACAAACAGACTTTGAGCATTTAGTCTGTATGCAGTTTAGACAAAGTGTGTGACTCTGTGCTCTTCTTTCCCGCAGCAAAATGCAGTACGTCTAAAGTGTGTGCGCGCCCTGCAGGGTCTGTACCAGGAGAAGGAATTCATTGGCCGCCTAGAGCTTTTTACCAGCAGATTCAAAGTGAGGCATCCCTCTGGAGTGAACTTGCACCTCATTTACTGCCTCCTTTCTCCCTCCCTTTCCCCCCTGTCTGTCTGTCTGTCTCCCTTTACTCTATTGTTTTCAGCTTACTGTATTGTTTCTATTTTGTCGTCTGTCTCCCCTCCCAGTATTATGTGCCTGTTTTCCTTTTCTTTTTTTCACCAGTTTCGACTCTTTGTTGTTATAGTGTCTTCCTTTGTCTGGCTGTGTCTGGTGCATTGATTGCTGCCAGTTACTAATGGTTAATAAGCTCCTCTGAAACACATGGCTTAATGTGTAATCAGTAGCTATGTGTGTGGGTGTGTGTATGCTTGTCTGTCCATGTCATATTTATGCCTGTTTGTTGTCTTGCATGATTGTGCGTTTGTCTGTGTGCCATTCATATTTGAGAGAGTGTATGTATGTTTAGGAGAGGATACTCAGCATGTCGGCGGACAAGGACCTTGACGTGGCAGTGGAAGCAGTCAATCTGTTGCTGCTGATTCAACAGTAGGGGCTTTCTCTGTCTCTGGTGTTTTGTCTGTGCCACTATCTGCAACATACTGTACAGTTTGTAGATCAGAAGATACCAAATGTAAATTTTACTGCTAAAGTCACTTTCGGCTTTTCCCGTTTAGGGGTCGCTGCAGCGAATCGTCACACTGACGACTCGCATGTTGACATTTGGCACGTGTTTTACGCCGGATGCCCTCCCTGACGCAACCCTGACTTGAACCCAGGCCACAGCGGCGAGAGCGCTGCGCCTATACATTTTCAAATTATGTTTTTACATAGAAAATTTTAAGCTTTATTTACGAAAAGTTCTAATCTGCCGCAATTTAAAGCATTAGTAATTCCCCTCTCAAGTTCTTTTTTTTTTTTCCCACGAAGCCTTTGGTCTTTGAAAAATCCCTTAAATTCTAAAAAAAAGGCCTCATGAGTAAAACTTTGGTCACAAAAATTCTCACCTTAAATCCAAGGTGAAATCGACCAAATAACAAAATTATGTCCTGGTTGTCTACAACTGATTCCAAGTCCAGCTTCTCAACAATAGAAGTGTAATGGATACTCAGAACTGTGATGACACTTTTTGTCGTGATGGCTAATGATTCACAGCAATGAGTCATGATTTCTCACGTTTGCCAGTATCTCACAGCACTGACTCAAGTCAGGTGTAAATTATAAGGTTTTATAATTAATTAACAAAAGAGATGACAGTGGATTTAGCAAGTCCACCTGATGGTTATTAAAGGGCTGCTTAGTTATAGTATGTAAAATGTTATTTAAAGGTCTATTAAATACACTGCAACAGTCTGCAAAGCAGCGAGATCTTTTGTTCCTTTCAAACAGACAAATCACTTGCAACATGATAATAAAAGGTTTGATGGCAAAGGACTCTCTTGACCTTGACATGTATTGGTCTATATTTGCTCACTGTGCAGGAACACAGAGGAAGGCCTGACAGAGGAGGACTGCGGTCACATCTATCCCCTGGTTTATGCTTCACATAGAGGCCTGGCGTCTGCAGCCGGCGCCTTCCTCTACAACAAGTACGCTTTGATCCATCGTTTTAACCCGTTGTCGGACTAATGTGCAGAGTGATAACAGTTGTCTCATCTGTGCAGATTTTGTGATTGTCTAAAGATGTTTCTGTTGCTGTTTGTTGTGGAAATATGAATCAAACACACTCCACCAGAAGAAAGCAATAAAAACGGCAATTTTGAGGACAGTACAACAAAGTTGGTCTTTATAATAGAGAGTAGATCATAATCCTCATAAAGTCATGCTGAAAATGGACTTTTTAAAGGAGTGGACTTTGTGTGTGTATACGGTAGTTTTGTTGTTATATATATATGAGCATTTTATTCCCACCTACATGTGGAATCAGGTCTTTATCAGTGATCAACTAATGTGATCTATCACTTGTACTTGCTAGGCTGAAAACTCTGTCTTCCAGTGGCAACCAGGGGAATAATAAAAGTGACAATGCAGTCTTCTTAGAAATCCTCATGTCCTTCCACATCCAGAATGAGGTAGTCTTTGTCTGGTCTCTCCTCTTAGTCCCCTCTCTTCCAATCCGTTTCTCTCCTTCTGTTTGAATTTAGAATAATTTGGCCTGTGATTAAAATGCATCTACTGTATCATTTGTTTTTCTTCCTTCATTTCAGTCTTCATTTCTTGTACCTGAAGCTAAAATTGAATAATGTTACCATATATACAGATGTCAGGTGTTTTTTCTAGAACAGTTTACTGACTGATTGGTCAACAAAGCTAAATTAATTGGATCTAACTTAAATCCCAATGAATTTTTGCTCGTTTGTCTTTACGTTGTCATGATGACAGGTGGACTAACTATGACGGTAAATATACTGTTCAAGTCATGTTTTGTTTAGGTCCCCATTTAAAGCTGCACTGGCCATGAGGCTTCACAGGAGAGTTTGTTTTAAACAGCAGAACCAGCAAGGCTTACTGTGATTTATTTAGTTTTACCCGTCCCACATTTGGAAGTTTTGTACTAAACATTAACATACTGTTTCAACTCTGAACCCTGCATCAAGTGATGTGTAAAATAAATGGTGGTCAGTGTAGTTCAGTAACATGCTGCTGCTTGATATTTGAAGTACATCCAGAGCAACTCATTCACTCTCTTGACAGTTCCATGAGCACGGAGCGTACCTGGTGGACAGTCTGTGGAGCGTGGCAGGGTCTGAGCTGAGAGACTGGGAGGCTATGACACTACTGCTGCAGGAGGCTGGTGAGGAACGAGATAAGACTGTGTACGACAAATAGTCTGTGCTGCACTTGGTACGGGGTTAGGTTCAGCGACAGTGCGGACAACCCAACTTATGATGAAAACAAATAATTTAGATAATGTTCATGTTTTATCACAGTGCAAATAACAAATATCAAGCCTGCTGCCTCTTCCAATATGTGCTGCTCCTTCTCTGATCCTGGTTTGTGTCGTCTCACCTGTCACCCACTCAGTTCTGCTTCTTTCTGTACTCCTGTGTTGTCAGGTCTGATGTATGAGGAGGAGGGCGCTCTCATAGACCTCATGATGTGTGCCATCCGACAGGCAGCACAGGCAACCTCACCTGTGGGGAGAGCTCAGGGCAAAAAGGTGGTGACACAGGCATAATTCTCTGGTTTGTGTTGAATGGAACAGTGGAGCTTGGGAGCGAGAGAGAAGTCATTCTTTGTGTTTACTTGAAATGTACCTGTCACATTTTTGTTTACCTCTTCTCATATACCCCTCAGCATCTAAGAACACAGTATATTGACCTCATACACATGTGAGCAGTTCAGTGGAAATGTCTAACCTCATAATTTGGTTGAATACAAACTGTATGCACAGCTCCACATAAATACATGAATGCTGTAGATTTTCCTCAGCAGTTGTGGTAGTTTTCCTGTCTGTGGACGCATAATTTACACACAGTTGTTCACACAGTTACAATACTCAGTACACTTTGCACATGTGTAAATGTGTTTTATTCCTGTTCTCATGTGGATAGATCCTGAGTATGAAGGATAAGAAGATCCAGGAACAAGACAGGAGACGTATCACCACCCATTTCATCCCTTTACTCCCACAGCTGCTGTCCAAGGTACACGGTCAAGGTCCACTTCACATACTTGATATTTCAGCACATGGTTAAAATTACATAGCAGTTATGGGAAGTGTTGGTGAAGCCTCAGCAGCATTGCCACATCAGTGTCTCCACTAAGGAGTCAAACTGTATTGCTACCACATGTTGCAGCCTCATATTAAACAGAGCAAGAAGATCACATTACTCCCTCAAGTATCAATATAGAATACTTTTTGTATGTTTAAATACAGAGCTTGTGTCATTTCTGCTTCTCTGACTGACCAGCAGTACTCGGCAGATGCAGGGAAGGTGACCCTCCTTCTCAAAGCTCCCCTCTACTTTGACCTGGAGATGTACAACAGCACTCAGTGGCTGGACAAGGTAGGAGGACTGGAAGTATGGAGGAACAACAGAGTTTCTATAAACAGCTGAGTAAAATCTCTTAAAGAGTTAACATATAATGGTCCTTCTTTCATATCACGCTCCTTTACTCACGTTAATATGCTCTGCTCTCTTTCTGTGTGTATTCCTGAGATGGTAGCCCAATAAATAAGAAAATAGAAGGGACTGGGTGCAGGATTTCTGTCCTATTTCTACTTCACAGTTAACCTTGTGTGATGAATTAGCATCATAATAACTTAAGGGAACAGTATAAATAGTTATAACCAAATGTTAGGGGGAAAATAACTGAACCGGTGACAGCCAATCTGATTGAATGGAACAAAGCTGAACAAAGACTAACCTTGACAGATGGGCTCAGCCAGGAGACGCTGAACTGGTGGTGTGT